AGAGGTGCCGCCCTCCCCAAGGCACGCGTTAGCCGGGGGGGTTCTGCCCCATCGAAGCGCTTGGCGAGGCTTTCGGGTGAGCAACCCGCACCGGTTAAGGTCTGCTCCCGCTGCCAGACCAGTCACAAATCCAGTGGTTTGTGAAAACTGTGCACAGGGACAGTTTCCACAAACATATTTCCATTAAAGATGCTGTTTCCCGTTTGGTCGGGGCAGGGGGGAGTTAACGCAAGAGACGTGTGTCCGGATTCGAGCGGGGCACCCGCGGTGACCACCGCTCCTGCGGGAAGTCCAACTTCCAGCGCTGGGACTGTGAATTCAGCAGGTCGCTCCGCCCGAGCGAAGGCTACTCCTGGAGTAAAGCAAACGAGGATCAGGCCAGTGGTTTGCAACCGAGGGCGCTCCCAGGGCATCGCTGCGTATTTGCCTACTGCTCGCTAAGCGCAGAGCGACGCACGTCACGCGCTTTGCTAAACAAATTCCTCCCCGTTATTTTCATCTCTCCGAGTTCTATTTAAAGAGACTTCCCAGGAAACAGGCGAGACCGGATCCCCGACCCCTCCTCCCTCTCCCACATTCGCTTGGAGGTTTCTTCGAAACGTTTTCCCCCAAAACCAGACCAATAATGGTGCCTGACCTGCTGCTGTGCTTGGGCTTCGGTTACGCGGCGGCCCTCCAACCCACGTGCCTATCGGCTCAGTTTAGACGACCTGGCGATTACATCGTAGGAGGCTTGTTCCCTTTCGGAACCGACGCCGTCAACCTGACGGCGCGATCAGAGCCCACGCGGGTGGCGTGTGAAAGGTGAGAGGAACGTCAGCGGCACTAGTACGTGGGGAGGGAAGGGAACAGAAAGTCGCCCCGAGAGCAACGGAGGGTCTCGCAGCTGAGCGTTGAAGGCGAGATGGAGACAAGAGACCAGCTCTGAGGTGCTGGGGCGCTGGTGTGCCGCGCCATCCATTTCTGGTCCTGAACTGGGAAATGTTTTTGTGATTTCTTGATGCTGCTGTGCCGTCAAACTGGAGATGCAACCAGCCCCGCTTGGATGGGAGCCCAGAGCGGCACTGGCTTCCTTCTCGTTTCGAATCCAACGCTTACGCGAAGGTGCAAACGTTGGATTTGCTGCCAGATGGAACGAGAAGCGCGCGCTGCGCTCCACGGGCGGAGGGCCCAGTGTTGAGATGGTGCCGTTGCCTTTTACGAGGGAAAAGGACGCTCAGGGCCGTGCGCAAGGCAAGGCAGGGAACAAAAATCACCCGCCTTGCCGGTGGGCGAGCTGCGTTTCCTACTCGGTTACCCAAAGAACGCGGAATGAGCCGCTGGCCACTGTAACGGCACTGACAGACCGCGCGAGTCCCCGTCTCTTCTTGTTTCAGGTTATTCGTAGACGGGCTGATATGGGCTCTTGGGATGAAGTTTGCTGTTGAGCAGATCAACAATTCCACTGCGCTTCTCCCGGGAGTAAAGCTGGGCTACGACATGCACGACACCTGCTTTGAGCCCCTGGTGGCCTTGCAGCCCAGCCTGCTGTTCCTGAGCCGCAACGGCACCGCGGGCGTCGGGGCGCTGTGCGACTACACCGGCTACCAGCCTCGCGTGACCGCGGTGATTGGACCACACAAGTCAGATCTCTGCCTGGTGACGGCCAAACTGTTCAGCTTCTTCTGGATCCCACAGGTAAGAGAAAACTCTTTGGAGAAGCGAGAATTCTCCTTTTTTTGGGGCGGGGGGGGGGGGGGGGGGAGGTTCGGATCAACAATGCTGCCTGTACTCTAGGTCTCTGAACCAGGATTGTTAAAGCACAGATTCCAGTCTTTCCTCCGCCACAGATTTCCCAAACGATCTTGGGTAGGTCATGAAACTTCCCTCCTGTCTAACTTTCCTGAGAGAAGAGGGGTAACTCAGGCCACTCTGTGATCCATGTAAAGTGGGGATAACAGAGCTCCCAGTGTAAACCAGGAGGATCCCATGAAAATAGACCTGTGACTGCAAGTACTCAGTTACCACAACAGAGCGAGCGATAACGGTCAGGTAAATCTAGCCCCGAGCTAAGATATTACTGAACCCTGGGTGTGTCACCCGCTGTAGAAAGCAGCTAATTATCATTAATGATAAGGGCTGGTGCTGTGATGATGGACACAAAGGGCAGTGGAAGGAGATACCCTTCCGGCAGTGGGGGACCGTGCTACTGGAAGCAAGTGTCGGGCCAGTTTATGGTTCTCCTGGTAAATGCAGCCATGGTGGACCTATCCCTTTAGATGGGTTCTTCCTTCCCACCGTCCTTCTGCAGTTTTGAAAAATCTAGTGCAAAGAAGGAGGAGAATGAGCCGGGCCGCGAACGCTTCTGTCAGCTCCGCTCTCTGCCTCGCTTTCTCTCTCATCCTCTAACTTGCAGGTCAGCTATGGAGCCAGCAGCGAGCAGCTCAGCAACACGGAGCTGTACCCATCCTTCTACCGTACTGTCCCCAGCGATAAGAACTTGGTGGAAGCTGTGGTCCGGCTACTGAACAAGTTTGGATGGAACTGGATTGCCACCATTGGGAGTGATGATGAATACGGCCGAAGAGCCCAGGGGCTCTTCTTAAGCGTAGCTGGAAATCACAGCATCTGCATCGCGTTCGAGGGGCTAATTCCTACAGACCTTGCAGACCCCAAAGCCAAAACCCAACTGGAAGATACCATTACGTTAATTAACAAGACCAAAGTCAACATCATTGTCCTTTTTGCCTTTAGTCAGCCAGCTCAGGCCCTGCTGGAACACAGCATCAGGATGGGACTGAGCAAGAAAGTCTGGATTGGCACTGAAGCCTGGATGTTGTCCGACACAGCTGCCTCCATCCCAAATATTCAGAGCATTGGGACAGTCTTAGGCTTTATTATGAAAGCAGGCACAGTCCCGGGCTTCCAGAAATACGTTGCCGACCTCTTTACCTCTGTT